ATCTTAACATGGAGTACCGCATGTTATATCTAGAGAGTAGAAAAAGTTTCAAGGCCAGAAGTGAAAAAAAGTTATTATTTCATGCAGTTTGTCGCTCAAATTCAATGTATATCAATTAAAATTCTATAATTGCACTTAATAAATTAAAATTATCAAATGGATCCAAAAAATTACCAAAATTACACATGAATCAATCTATGTTCTCTATTGCATATACAAAAAGTTCTGAAGTTAAATCCCAATTTGACCGTAACTTTGACTCCAAAACTTACCGAATCCTTCTCAATGCTAAGATTCTTCTTCTGAGTTACTTGGGTTTGTAAAGATCGTACATGACAGATTGTCTGAAACCTTCTCAATTTTTTACCACGGCCTCCACGTATGATATCATGAGATCTTAACAAATCTCATAATTTTCAGACTTCGTTTGCTTTTTTTAGAATTTAAAAACAATTCGGCCACACGTTCGTGGTCATGTTTCCTAAACAAGATGTTTGAAATTTCTTTTCATATTCTAGGTAAGGCCTCACACCGGACTCAATAACATGAATATCATTTTTCTACTCATTTGTTATATTATTTGAATCACTTGCATTTCGAATTTGACTTATACCAAAAAAATTCCTTTAAAGGAAATAAATTAATTAAATATATCAAACGGGCCCAGAAATATACCAAATCTTAACATGGAGTACCACATGTTGTATGTGGAGAGTAGAAAAATTTTGAAGTCCAGAAGTGAAAAAAAACTTATTATTTCATGCAGATGTAGCTTAAATTCAATGTATATCAATTAAAATTCTATAATTGCACTTAACAAATTAAAATTATCGAACGGATCCATAAATTTATCAAAATTACACATGAATCAATCTATATTCTCTATTGCCTATAGAAAAAGTTCTGAAGTCAAAACCTAATTCGACCGTCACTTTGACTCCAAATCTTACCGAATCCTTCTCAATGCTATAATTCTTCTTCTGAGATACTTCGGTTTGTAAACATCATACGTGACAGATTGTGCGAAACCTTCTCAATTTTTCACCAAGGCCTTCGCGTATGATATCATGAGATCTTGACAAATCTTATAATTTTCAGACTTCATTTGTTTTTTAAGAATTTAAAAACCATTCGGCCACACGTTCTTAGTCGGGTTTCGTGAACAAGAGGTTCAAAATTTCCTTTCATTTCCTGGATAAGGCCTTACACGGGACTCAATAACATGAATATCATTTTTCTACTAATTTTATTCTATTATTTGAATCACTTGCAGTTCGAATTTGACTTATACCAAAAAATTCCTTTAAAGGCAATAAAGTAATTAAATATATCAAACGGATCTAGAAATATACCAAATCTTAACATGAAGTACCACATGTTGTATGTGGAGAGTAGAAAAAGTTTAAGGCCAGAAGTAAAAAAAACTTAATATTTCATGCAGTTGTAGCTCAAATTCAATGTATATCAATTAAAATTTTATAATTGCACTTAACAAATTAAAATTATCGAACAAATCCATAAATTTATCAAAATTACACATGAATCAATCCATGTTCTCTATTGCCTATACAAAAAGTTCTGAAGTCAAACCCCAATTCGACCATCACTTTGACTCTAAATCTTACCGAATCCTTCTCAACACTACGATTCTTCTTCTAAGATACTTCGGTTTGTATACGTTGTACGTGACAGATTGTGTGAAACATTCTCAATTTTTTTACCACGGCCTCCACGTATGATATCATGAGATCTTGACAAATCTCATGATTTTCAGACTTCGTTTGTTTTGTTAAGAATTTAGAAACCATTCGTCCACACGTTCTTGGTCGGGTTTCATGAACAAGATGTTCAAAATTTCCTTTCATTTCTCAGATAAGGCCTCACATGGGACTCAATAACATTAATATCATTTTCTACTCATTTTATTCTATTATTTGAATCACTTCCAGTTTAAATTGGACTTATACCAATAAATTCCTTTAAAGGCAATAAATTAATTAAATATAGCAAATGGATCCAGAAATATACCAAATCTTAACATGGAGTACCACATGTTGTATGTGGAGAGTAGAAAAAGGTTCAAGGTCAGGAGTGACAAAAAACTTATTATTTCATGCAGTTGTAGCTCAAATTCAATGTATATCAATTAAAATTCTATAATTGCACTTAACAAATTAAAATTATCGAATGGATCCATAAATTTACCAAAATTACACATGAATCAATCTATGTTCTCTATTACCTATACAAAAAGTTATGAAGTCAAACCCTAATTCGATCGTTACTTTGACTCCAAATCTTACTGAATCCTTCTCAACGCTACGATTCTTCTGAGATACTTTGGTTTATAAACATCGTACGTGACAGATTGTGCGAAACCTTCTCAATTTTTTACCACGACCTCCACGTATGATATCATTAGATCTTGACAAATATCATGATTTTCAAACTTCGTTTGTTTTTTTAAGAATTTAAAAACCATTTGGCCACACGTTTGTGGTCGGGTTTCATGAACAAGATGTTCAAAATTTCTTTCATTTCCCGGATAAGGCCTCACACGGGACTCAATAACATGAATATCATTTTCTACTCATTTTATTATATTATTTGAATCACTTGCAGTTCAAATTTAACTTATACCAATAAATTCCTTTAAAGGCAATAAATTAATTAAATATAGCAAACATATCCAGAAATATACCAAATCTTAACATGGAGTACCACATGTTGTATGTGGAGTGTAGAAAAAGTTTCAAGGTCTAGGAAGGAAAAAAACTTTTTAATTTGCTGAGTGTCAAAATAAAATACACGGCAAACGAACCTATTTGCTGAGTGTCAGATAAAAACACTTGTCAAAGATTGCCGAGTGTCACTAACCGACACTCGGCAAAGTTCTAACGGCCGGCACCCTAGTTGACGGCCGGCACACATGGCGGTCTTTTGCCGAGTGTCTATTCTTTGTCGAGTGTCTTGTTGTTGTTTGCCGAATGTTTTATTTCCTGTACTCGGCAAATAATTAAGTTTTTTGCTGAGTATATTTATTTTGCCGAGTTTTTACCTGTAGGCACTCGGTAAAGATACTGTTTGCCGAGTGCCCGAAGGAATGCACTCAACAAACCACCAGGCACTCGGCATATATACTGTTTCCGGTAGTGTGGGGCATCTTCAGTTGTAGGAGCTGGTAAGGGAACAGGGCTGCTGACACCTCGGTCACTATGTCAGATTCTTACTGTAGAAACGAGGACATTTTTACTGTAGTGGTGGCTGGGGTTAGGGGCGCCCCTACAGTGGGCGTTCTCGGGCCCCAGTAGCCCAGCCGCCCCAATAGATGGCACTGTAGGGGCGACTGATAACCTGAGCCGCCCCTACAGTTGAGGCTAATCTGTAGGGACGGCTCAATCACCAGCCGCCCTGCGATTGCCTTTGTAGGGGCGGCTCCATCACCACCGCCCTGCGATTGCGGGCTGTAGGGGCGGTGAATCACCAAATTACCCTCTACCGATGGCACACGAATAAATAGCAGCGCTTACATGATCATTGTAAACAGTGTGATTTCTTTTTTTAATCTGTGGGTCAACTTTGTAACTAGTTTTTCTTCCTCGTACTAACTCCAAATCTGATGATTTTTTTTTCCTAAAATTTTCTAAAATCATTCTCTATCAATTTATTTTGTTGGTTTTTGTCAATATATACATATAAAAAGTTTGAGCAATTTAAATTTTGAATTTAAAAAAAATACAACTTCAGACAAGATTTTGGTACCCCAAATGATTTCAGCTGAAAAAGTGATAAATACCAAAGTTGAATAACTCATCAAGATCTACAACTTTTGTATTGGTCATTTCTTTATATGACAAAGTGGTAATGACATTGTTTACAAATGTGACACATCTCTCATAAGGTTTTATAAACTATATGAGACATGTGTAAGATTAGTGAACAATGTGTGCTAAGAATTTGTCAAATGAAGAAATGACCAAAATAAAAGTTGTAGATATTCATTAGTTGAACAACTTTGGTATTCATCACTTTTTATGTTGAAATCATTTTGGGTCTCAAATTTTGGTTCGAACTTGTCGTTTTTCAAAATTTCAAATTTGAAATGTTCAATTTTTGTCAAATGATAAGATGACTAAAATAAAAGTTGTAGATATTAATGATTTGAACAACTTTGGTATTCATCACTTTTTATGTTGAAATCATTTTAGGTCTCAAATTTTGGTTTGAACTTGTCATTTTTTAAAATTTCAAATTTGAAATGTTTAAATTTTGTCAAAATGACAAGATAACCAAAATAAAAGTTGTATATCTTGATGAGTTGTTCAACTTTGATGTTTATCAAATTTTCATTTGCGATCATTTGGTGTCTCAAAATTATTTTAGTAGTTTTAATTTTAATTTTTGGTAAACTTGGTGACCTCTACAATGGTGGCTCGACGATCCTGCACCATTTCTCTAACAACTTGCCTTGCTAGTTTCTACTGCATTGAGCCCACCGACATTCAATTTAAGGAAAAATAGGTAGTTCAAAGAGCTTAAGAGGATTTTTTTTCTAAGTTTAATTTGTATAAGTTCAAAAATTACGAACTCCATCCGGAGGCTAACACAGTGTGGCACCTGTGGCATCGCCGTCTATGTCACCGCTGTTCGAGCCCCGAGACCCTTCTGCTTGACCTTCTCAAGAAAAGAGTGGTATCCTTGAGATTTTTTTTTTTGAGCAGATGCTATCCTGAGAATGGAGTCGGGCCAATGTACTGAACTGGACTACCTTATTTTTTTTTGGAGGGGAACTGAACTGGACTACCTATAGTAATCGGGGAGCATGGCATGTGGGCCCGTGGTAGAGAGAGGGGAGACGCTGACTGGACGAAACGACTAGTAGTGCATTCGCCATTCGCCAACCACTCATCATCAAACGGAATCCAATCAATCCCCGATTCGCTCCCCCGTCGTCCTCCCGGCCAACCCTAGCTTCCCCTCCCCTCCCCTCCCCTCCCCCGATGGATCCGCCGCCCTCCAGGGACAGGGAGGAGCTGGAGCCCGAAACCCGCGCCTTCCCCGACGCCGACGCCCCTGAGACCTCCCGATCGGAAAGCGACGAGGGTATCCCTCCACCGCTGCCGCCGCCTCCTCTACGCCAGCAGCTCATGGGGGCTTGCCGCGCCGACGAGCGCCTCAGGCCGCTGCTCACGCTCAACGTCTCCTGCGCCGCCGACGACGACCGATTCATCGCACACCTCGCGCAGGTAACCTTTCGCTTTTGCCTTGCCTCCTCCTCCGGCTCCTGTTCGGTTGCCTAGGGTTTACGGATCTGTTCATTCAATCTGCTCGCTCCCTTCCTACCTCCCTTGCAGCACTTCGAGGTGTTGGAGGTGGGCATGCTCGCGCGTTGCCTCTGCGTCCCCCTCGTCTCCCTGCGCGTTGGCAAGGTTCAGAGGGAAGGGCCTCTTCTCTGCCCAACACACATTAGGTTGGTACTCACTCAAATCCTTACTTCGCTTCATCATCATCACATATGACACTGATATGTATGCTTCATTAAGATAGCAGCGCCTGCTTGACCCTTATGATTTCGCTTGTTGCACTGTCTCTTTCGTGATTATTTCGCATCTCACATGATTTACCAGCTTTCCTCCTTCTCAACTTGTATATTCTTCTCGCTTGCAGCTAGCCTTTACTGTGAGATATCTAGTTTGATTCAGCTTGTTTTTCCCTTTACTTATATCTCTGTATAACTACTCAAATGTACAACCTGGCGGTATAATCCAGCAATCACTGGTAGATATCTAGTTTGATGTTTTTTTATTCTTCAGATTCAGAGTAATGCTCTCCACATCTGTAGTCAACCTTTCAAATTTCTTTGAGTTCAACTCTTGTGGCCTCTGCCTATCTTTCCTTGTTCAGCTTCAAGATGAGGCAGCTTGCGCACTTAGTTGCCTTGATAAATGCAGAGATGGTGGACTTGAAGAGCTTTTCATGACCAAAGTTGACTTTGGTGCTAAGTTTGACTCATGCTTGAGGTACGCTGAAACTGAATTATGATGCATCACATTGGTACATGTATTATGGACTTCTACTGGAACCGTTATTTGAGTGAACAGTGCAGCACGTCCTCAGTTTGAGACTATCTAGTTACATTCTGCATCTGCTGTTATGCACCAACTTTTCTCTCCTACTTAATGTGGCTCTGGCCCAACTTGTCAGCCTCTTTTCATATTATTTCCAATCTGCACATATTCCTAGTGTCATTGAGCCAATTTTGCCTTCTAGTATCATCCCAGATTAAAGACTTCTCCATCAGCTGATCAAGTTTTCACTTGTATTTCTTTCTGTCAGGATAAACTTGAAAGGGAACTCTAAGGTTACTGCATTAAGCTATTGTGTGGATGATGAGTCTTGGAGAATTCTTGAGAAAGATGTTCAGTCTTTGCTGCAACGAGGACTTACAGATAGAACAAAAATGATCCGAGTCCTGTGGAGAAGCACACCTTCTGAATGGAAAATAGTGGAAGTATGTAGTGTGAGCATTAGTATTATTGATCACCTTCCTGCATTTCAGTCCAGTGACAAGCACAATTTTGTAGGGTTTCTCAGAATTTGGCAGCAGTCCGCTTCTCGTTGGTATGATGGTTAGCTCATTGGAAAAAAGTTTTTGCCTTGTTGATATTGGTCCAAACCCTGAGAACCGCGTTGAGGTATTTTTCCTTTTCTAGATTACGGAACAATGAACTGCCACTATTGCGATCTAACACTCTGATATGCATTATTAAATCACAGGCTATTAAATTTAGGAAATTTTGGGGAGAGAAAGCTGAGCTTAGAAGATTCAAGGATGGAAATATTGCTGAAAGCACAGGTAACTGATGCATTTTATTTTACTTCATTATATCTAAAAAGTGTGGATAGCTGTTGCATTTTATTCTTAATGGATCCTACTTGCTTAACTGCAGTTTGGGAATGTCAATCTCGGGAGAAGCACACAATTATTAAAAGGATTGCTGATTATGTGCTTATGAAACATTTGTCACTGCAGAAGGATGATTTGATTCATGTTGTTGATCAGCTGGACTTTTGCCTCTTAGTTGATGGCCAAGGTAAGTTTCAGATCTTTCTATGTGTTGCTTTACAGTTTACATATCCTTGGTTTTAAGCTTATTCCTAATTATGCAGATCCGGTCTCGTCTTCTGGGGCTTTGCTTGAAGCTTTTGATACTATTTCTAAGCAGTTACGTCTCTTAGATGATATTCCTCTTAAAATATCTACCGTGCAACCCCTAGACTCAGGTTTGACACAATATCTTTTTTGTATTCTTTATGCATGATCTTGTTTTCACATTTCTCTCATTGTATGTGACATTTCCTTTCGTTTTTCCTTTTCTTACACCAGCTTTTAGGCACACTTCTGTGTTTCCTCCTGAACCTCATCCACTGGCATATGGAAGGAACTCTCAGAGGCTACCGAAATTCGCAACAACTTGCATAAGATCTTTAGAAGTTATGATTCACGTATAGATAATAAAATTGTCTGATTTGTTGCTCCTTATCCTATTAGGAATGAAGCATTGCAAATTAAGTTTTCCCCTGACTTTATTTGATAGACTTTTGTGAATTATGACTTGAGATGATGTTCTAAATAATGGTCTTGTGTTTGTGGATGTATATATGTATATTTGTGGCGGTCAGATTCGAATTTGAATTATATATATATATATATATATATATATGGTCAGATTTGAATTTGAATTATTTTTTTTTGGAAAATCCACTGTAGGGGTGGTTCTTGATTGAACCGCCCTTACAAATACACACAGCAGGGGCGGCTGGTGATACAGCCGCCCTTACAGAAGTCCACTACAGGGGACGGCTGATATTACCAGCCGCCCTTATAGAGGGCACTGCAGGGGACGGCTGAAAACAACAGCCGCCCCTACAGAGGTCACTGCAGGGGCGGCTGAAAACACCAGCCGCCCCTACAGAGGTCACTACAGGGGCGGTCAGAAAACCGCTCCTACAGAGGCACCCTCTGTAGGAACACCCTGGGAAGGGCGGCTGGCGCAGCCGCCCCTACAGAGGCCACTACAGGGGCGGTCAGAAAACCGCTCCTACAGAGGCACCCTCTGTAGGAACACCCTGGGAAGGGCGGCTGGCGCAGCCGCCCCTACAGTTAATTTCTGTAGTAATGGGTCATGCCACCGCAGCTCTCCGCTAGCTCCCAGCCAGTTCCTAGACCTGGTCACCACCAAGACATGAGTTCGTGACATTCACTATCCCCAACCCCCCCCCCCACCCCCCTACACACACCCAATTTATTCACAGTGCTGCTACTGCCTTCAGCCATATGAGTGTTCGTGCTTTCGGCTTTCATCCTCAGGTCCCTTTTGCTACTATAAGAGGGCAGCGCTGTACCAGCCTAGCGGCAACCTGTCCCGGCCGAGCATCGGCCACTGGGTATGTCATAGCACCAATGTCAACAAGCAGTCATGGGCAGCAACGTAGCCAACAAGTTAAATTTGGGCATGATTTGATAGCTGGTGATTTGGTTAATTAGTCAATTCGGTGCTTAAATCTTCTCCATGCTCATATGATCATTCGACTTTGTGTTACAACATGATTCTAGTTAGTAACGCCATTGTCATATTTTACTTGTACTATATGATCTATGTTTCTAAGCACTTGTTATTATTAGACTTTGTTCTTGCTTGGGCTCGCCAAATTTCCTAGGTCCGCCATTGTAGGTATCCCACGACACTGTTGGTTTAAGATCAAACAATGATAATAGGGACTATCATTGCCTCTTAGCCACCTGCCGGGACTAATTCCGATAGTACTAGTCTGTTTGAAACTATTAGTACTAGCTGGTTTATGGTTTATTAGTAATGAGTTATCAGTATCTGTATCAAACAGTTGACCATACAAAGGATTCTCGAGTGTTAGAAATTGACTAGTCAGGCAGTAGACCTGATGGTTGACTGGGCAAATTAATCCTCGATAGTCCCAATTGTCAATGAATAGATAGAAAATGGTTGTAATTGACTAAATATTCGGTGAACCATAGCCAATACTACCGGAAACACCAAAGTTGCCGAGTGTCTCCATCTTTGCCGTGGGCAAGATTTCGGGCACTCGGCAAACATGGTGTTTGCTGAGTGTCCCAAAGACGACACTCGGCAAAATCAAAACTCACGGCATAACAGTTTACGCCGAGTGCCTACACTCGGCAAACAATAGACACACGGCAACTTCATGTCCGGGTAACACCGTCGACCTCCGTTATCATTTTGCCGAGTGTCACACGTTAACACACGGCAAACCCACCTATATGCCGAGTGTCAAAATACGACACTCGGCAAACCCACATCTACACCGAGTGTCACCTAGCGACACTCGGCAAATTCTGTTATATGCCGAGTGTCAGCATATGACACTCGGCAAACAATTTTTTTTTTTGATTTTGCCTCCCAAACTTTTTGTACTGTTGTCTTACAGTACCTGTTGCTCTGTGTTGAAGTTTTGTACATTTCTGAGTTATTTTACTATATTTCGTCAATTTATTTTAGTCAAATGAATTTTCTGTAATTTTTTGGATTTGAACTGCAAGTGCTTCGAATATCCGAAAAAAGTGAATAAAAATGATATTCTATTCACTGAGTCTGTTTTGAGACCGTATCCAGGGCCAGACCAGAAATTTCGAACATTGTGTTCGCGAAACATGAGCAGAAACGCGTGGCGGAAACGTCTGAAAATTCTATAAAAAGCAAACAAAGTCTGAAAATCAAGAAATTCGTCGAGTTGTCATGATATCATACGTGGAGGCTATGGTAAAAAATTGAGAGTGTTTCAACAAAGTTGACACGTACGCTGCTTACAAATCGGATCATCTTCGGAGAAGTTTATGTGATTTGAGAAAGATCCGGTAAGATGAGGAGACAATTTGAATGTCGATTTGGAGTTTCACTTCAAAATTTTTTGTATATACAATAGAGAACAAAGATCGCTTCTTGTGAATTTTTGGCAATTTTTCGGAGCCATTTCGTAATTTTAATTCTTTCGTCGTAATTATTGAATTTTAGATGCGTGATATACAAACACATGAAATAATAGTCTAATTTTTGTACAATCTTGAAATATACATTTGTGAGTGCACCTAACAAAGTGTAATGCAAGTTCATTTCATGAAATTAGTGAAACATGAAATAGAGGAAAGTAATTAAGTAGAGGAAAGAAAAGGGCAGCATGAAATATATAAATAAGTTTGTCGAGTGCTGCATAGGTGGCACTCGGCAACAATGTAATAAACTTTTTTTAAAATTTCTTGTTAAGGGAGAACAGGGATTTTTTAAAATAGGGAAAACAGGAGGGCACTTTTTAAAAAAAATGTTTGTCGAGTACCCAATCGTCACGGCACTCGGCAATTAGGCGTTTAAGTTTTTTTAAGTAGTTTACCGAGTGCGCCATCGGCCGACACTCGGCAAACTGATGGGATTTTTTCTTAAAAAACGTTGCCGAGCGTCGGATCGGGCCGACACTCAGCAAACAGGCTGCAAAATAGCTAGGCTGCTGGCCGGCTCTGGCCATTTCTCCATTCTATCCCCGCGCACACACGCGCCCTCCTCCGTGCGCACGCGCCGCCGTCACCCTGCCTCCCCTCGCGCCGCCGTCGAGCTCCCCCCCCCCACGCGCCCTCCTCCCTCCCCACTCCATCGTGCTCCCCATGCCCGCCGCCATCGAGGTCCGTCCCCACGCATCGCCGACCGCACACCCTCCACCACAACCCCTCCGCCGCCCCCTCCCTCCTCACCCCGCCCGCCTCCGCCGTCGACCTCCTCCCCGCCCGGCCGGTCTGCCACAGCCACCGGCTGGCCCACACCCCTGTCCCCGCCGTGAAACCGAGCGTGAGCACGACCCCGCCCGCCTGCCCCCAGCGAGACCCTGCGCCACCTCGGTGCCCGCCCGCAGGGAGCCCCTTGCTCGACGTCGGCAGCCCTGCGCTTCGCCTGCCGCCGGCCGCCGGTGCCCGCCCGCCGTGGGCTGCCTGGTCAACGCCGCCCGCCTGCTGCCTGACACCGGCCGGCCACCTGCCCGACGCCGACAGGCACCAGCTCGCCACAACCCCATCTAGGTACGTATATGTGCACAAGGGTGATATATATGCGGTATGCAAATGTTCAGGATTCAGGAACCAGACACAAAATAATATATATATTTGTTGGATAAGTGTTAAGTTGCCTCCTCCTTGTGCGATGTATGTAATTTCTTTCGAGAGTCCAAACTCAGTCCATGGCTCCATGCTATGCATGCTATACTGATATAGCTTTAGATGTCTGCAACTGCAACCTGATGATTCATCGTTCTCTAGTAGGGCTATAGCTTGATTTAGATACATTGATGCCTTTCTTCTGGCGTACCAGTCCTCTTTTACATTCTTCTATATCAGGTAGTTTAGTAGAAATTTAGACTCCATATGTATAGGCCTAGGCGAGAACTAAAAAAACTCACATCACAACAGGAGGCTGAAAAGTCCAGATCATGATTTTTGGAGTAGGCCTTGAAACGTAGAGATGCTTATAGGTCTTGTTTTTGGGAACCTAGCTAGCTAGCTTATATTCGATGAAAAATGAAAATTCACTAATTAATGTTTGGCTAGCTTATTCTATACAATACAAATAAAAAATATCTATAACTCCGTGCATATATATATGTTAGACTAGATAAGTTTCGTTTATCGGTATATTATACTATTCTGCAGTCTACATCATCATACTGTTCCTTGTTCCTCGTTTTTAGACTTATGTACTTCATCACATTGTTTTCTTTACTTTTGAAGGGTTAAAGGGATTGTTATTTGTTTTTTTACATGCAAATTTGCTTACTGATCAAGTGTAATTAATGGCTTTCTTAGTAACTTTGTCAATATGCATGTAGGTTTATACACGCCTTTTAATCTCTGATGCGTGTATTGCTGCCCATAGCCTTTTGCAATAGATTTTACTCCATCACAAATTCACTGCTTCAGAAGTGTCTTTCTTACTGACCTCATGTATCCATTATCTTGTTTCTTTTTACTTTGTTTATGGTAATATAAAGGTAATTACTTACTCGTGTGAAATGACTTATTCTTTTAGGGAGGACTGAGGCTTCTGGCTGTTTGTTGGTGTTCCGTGGACCTTGTAGCGGTTGAGGCTTCTCCTGTTTGCGGGACAGCGAGGTGAGGCATAAAACACCCCTCTTTTCCGTATCATGCATGTTTGTAGAGCACGTAACCGGGTTAGGCGTCTCCCCTTCGAAAGAGATAGGGTTGGAAATATGCAGCTCTTTGCATATCGATAACCGTATCTGTTTCGAATTGTCCACGTTTTTTGGACAGCCCTAGGATGCGTAGATGGGGTTAGTCTCCGTGGTCTACTCCGTTCCGAGGCAGAGTTTCGGCAGCATCTCCCTGTTGTTCTCCGGATACACAATCTCCCTACCGGGATGTGTATTTGGAGAACAACGGGGAGGTGCTGCCGAAATTC